CTGAAGAAAGCAACGGCCAGGAGAACGAGAAAGTATTAGGCTTGTCATTTTAGATACGTTCACAATCAGCCGAGAACATTTTCAGAGAGCGCTGAAGATCATTTCAGAAAATGCCAACAAAGCAAGCAAACGGCAACTCTCTGTTTCGAAAACTTCTACGCTGATACACTCATCACACTGACTGCTGCTGACTGTTCTATCCTGGTACATCATAAATAGGGGCGAAAGAAGTATCTCGACTCAACGCCATTTACTATGACTTAGTACCTGCTGTCAACATAGAGTGACTAGATGGTTCACGGCAAATTGCCCTGATCCCATTTGTTGGCAGGCACTTACATAGCTTCTTGCGCGGGAAACGGTGATAGGCTTTCTCCAGATCCACAAAGCAAGTGTAAACCGGTTGAGCGAACTCTATGACGTTTGGTCAATGGGGCGTAACGAAAATCTGGTCAGAGGAGCTTAGGCCTGAGTGAATTTGTACTGATCATTTGTGTTTAGAGTGAATTTTTCTGAGGCACTTGCCTACTAAAATAACTAAAGTAGGCTTTTCCCAGAAGGCTAAAAAAGGTGATCCTCTGACAACTGGAACACTCTCTATGTTGATCCTTCATGAACAGGGGATTTACAACAACCGTTCTCCAATTTACTGGCGTCTCCTCCGCAGCCACAGCAGGATTAGTCGCGTAAAAGTCACAAAAGTCCTTGTTGCCTAATGCCTTTAGCATTTCAGGGCCAATTTAATCGATTATAGCAACCATGCCACTTTTCAAGTTTTACAGCTTGTGTGACTACATCGATGTAACGTAAGACTCACACCCGTTGCCTGCTGCTCTTCAGGCGAGTCATCCAGCAGTTGCTCAAAGTACTCAGGTACAGTGTATCCTTATCCTTTGTCAGGAGGTATCCAGACTTGTCCTTCAGGATTCAAGATTCGACTGTTATTTTTTTCCATCTCAAAGACGAAGGATGAATTGCCTAAAAATACCTTATTGCCGTCTAAATTTTGACTCCGATACTTAGAAGAACAATTACCAGGAATCAGCTATCGCTTTCCCCGCTGCTTCCGCTGCGGCTTTTTGCACTTCTTTATTCTGCATTCAAGTTGAAGGCTCTTTGCGTCCATGTCATCTCTTCAATGTAGCATTCTTATCGGTAACAGCCAGTTGTACCTTTCGCGCCCGCCAGTTCGTTTCTGATCTCCAGGCCGCTGGCCAACCCGTCTGAAACCGCAGCATTCAGCGGTTGTTTGAAGTAGGCCGCTTTTAAAGAGTTTCCATTTGGTCGCCACACCAGCGGTGATCACTGGAATCTCTTCAAATCGTCGTGCGATGCTGTTTGCAACTTTTACCCTCCTATTCGCAAAAGATGCTTTCCCTTTGATTCTGTTGTTGCATCTACCGCTGGTTCCTTGCATGGTATTCCATCTCTAATAGCGTAGTGTGCCAATAACAAGGTTATGCTCGGCTGAAAGCTCCGCGCCTTTCTTATCGCGA